AAGCATAAGCCAAATAAACCCTCTCCTCCTTAACTTGCTTTTGGCCATGATGGTTCATCATGGTAATAATAACCCTAATCAAGACAGGTGTGTATTAACTGTTGTGAAATATTATTTTAAGATGTGTTACATTTGTTCATGCTGTAGAACATTTTTTAATGATACAAAGCTGTGTTGTATTCCTTTGTGTTGCATTTGTTTAACTCTGTGAAGCTGTGATTCTTTGCCTGTCTAAAACACCTGATGGTCTGTCTAATAAAGAGCTTAATGGTCAATAGCAAGGCAGGACAAAGGATAGGCAGGGCTGGCAAGTGGAGAGAATAAATAGAAGGGGAAATCTGGAAGGAGAGAGAAGAAAGAGCCAAGGGGAAAAAGCAAAAATCAACCAACGACGTTTTGGTGTTCCAACATGGGGTCGTAGAAAGCTGAGCAATTAACTGCTATCATTTTACCAACTTTGTAGTGTTTTCCTGGTCCTCATTTACTGAAATACTACTCTAGCATGGTTCATTCTTTCCTGTGGTATCATGGACATGTTTCTATTTCACTTCAGCCTAAAGAATTCTTCCAAATATCTTCTGCATAGTAGATATGAATTTCTTTAACCTGTTTTAATCATGAAAAGTTTGTCTTTCTCAAAGATTAGGGATAGTTTTTCTGAGTATAGTGATGTGGGTTGGTAGTTGTCTTTCACATATGGGAAATACGATGTAGTAAGCCCTCTTAGCTTTTAAGGTTTCTCTGAAAAGCCAGCTGCTAAGACTGACAAGTTTGCCTTTGTATGTGATTTAGCTCCTTCTTCCCTGAAGCTTTTAGTGTACTTTGTTCTGCATACTTAGTGTTTTGACTGTATTATGGCATGGGAAGGTTCTTTTCTGGACTTGTTTGTTGGGTGTTTCAAATGCTTCCTGTTTGTGCTGGCCAGTTTTATGTGAACTTGACGCAAGCTGTAGTCATCTGAAAGGAGAGGGCCTCAATTGAGAAAATGTCTCCATAAGATTGGGCTGCAGGCAAACCTATAGGACATTTTCTTAATCAGTGATTGATTTGGGAGATCCCAGTCCATTCATTGTGCATAGGGCTACACCTAGACTGCTGGTTCTGGGACCTATAAGAATGGAGACTGAACAAGGCAGTAAGCAGCATCCTTCCACCACATCTTCAGCTCTGCCTCCAGGTTCCTGCCCTGTTTGAGTTCCTACTCAGACTTCTTTCAATGATGGACTATGATGTGAACAAATGAGCCAAATAAAACCTTTCCTTCCCAGCTTGCTCTTGGTCATGGTGTTTGATCACAGCAATAACAACATTAACTAAGACAATGCTCTTGAATGGATCATTCTCTTGATTTAAATTTTTTTCTGCTATGATTTTCCTGAAAATGTAGTCCATGCCTTTTGCATGAAATTCTTTTCCTAGAACCATGATTTGTAGATTTGGCCTTTTTATAATGCCCCATAGATCTTTAATGTTCTATTCCTATTTCCCTAATTTATCATTGTCAGTGACTTAATGATCTAATTCCTCACCTTCTGTCCTTCCTTGACTCATCTTATTAGTTAGGCTTCCCATGGAGATTTACATTTGTATTACTGATTTTTTTTCCGAGCATTTCAGGGTCTTTTTTTCCTTCAGAGTCTCTCTCTCTCTCTCTCTCTCTCTCTCTCTCTCTCTCTCTCTCTCTCTCTCTCTCTCTCTCTCTTTCCGAGACTGGGTTTCTCTGTGTAGCTTTGGAGCTTATCCTGGAACTCACTCTGTAGACCAGGCTGGCCTCTAACTCAGAGATCCACCTGGCTCTGCCTCCTGAGTACTGGATTAAAGGCGTGCATCGCCACACCTAGCATCCTTCAGTATTTCTATCTCTGTTGAATTCTTCTCTCATATCTTATGCTGAAGTCTTTATTTCTTTCAGTTTCTTGTTTGCACCCTCTTGGAATTTGTCCAGAAGTCTATTGGTGCATTCTTTGATTTCTCTGAACATACTTAGACTCACTATTTTGAAAATTTGAGACTTCATCTTATTTACCCTCGAATGGGAGGCCATCAATGTAGGATTAACAATTTTTTTTTTGAAAAGTTGTATTGTCTTGTTTTTTTATGTATCTGGAGTTTTTGCATTGAGACTTATATTATTGGTTGGATTTTTTTTGCCCCAAATCTTTTAGTTGAAGTGTTTGCAGTGATTGAGAGAGACTAGATTGCAGTACAATTGAGGGTTTTTTTTTTTATCTTTTACTAGTAGTCAACACCAAGCTCGATTCCTAGTAATTCTTTTAGAGTAGAGCGTTATCTTTTTTAAAAAAATCTCTATTAAGGGTTCGTCCACTATGAAAATATAGCAGTGGTCAAATGAAAAGGGATCACTCACTAAATGCCAATCATTTTAGGAAGTAAAGGGACATAGATAATACTGTGTGCACTACCACATTTGTTACTGTGAGTGTGAGTAGAAAGGTAAAATGGAACAGAGTGAAATTAGTGATGAGAGTTGGGTGGATAGAGAAAATGTAAAATAAATCAATAAATAAAAGGGGGAACAATAAGAACAAGAATGGGGGAAAGATGAGGTAATTTGACTAAAGAAACATCAAGAGAGGTAAAGAAATGCAACCAGACAGCCTACAACCTCCCCAGCTCTCAGGAGACTAAGACAGAGACCCTGCAAAGCAGGCCAACCTCTGTCCTTTGGGAAAGCTTATGAAAAGAGAAAAAAGAAAAGGGAAAGAAAATATAGGGGAAAAAGAGAGAAAACAGAGAAAAAATAAAGAGAGGGCAGGAGCAGAGTAGGACAGAGCTGGTATGCTAACATGGCATTGAGTACTAAATGAAAAAGGACTAGATGAGAAGAGGGCGGATGGAGATACAGAGTGTGAAGGCAGTCTGGCCTGCTCGCTGGTTCCAATCTCAAGTCTATCCGCATTTTCCTTCCTGGGCTCACAGTTCCGTCACATCTGGCTGGTGCTTGTGTAATGAAGTCACAGGTGTCTGTCACTCCTTCAATGAATCAGGTTGTGAAGGGCGGTCCCTCTCTGTCACAAACCTTTGTGAGGTTAGAATTCAGATATTGGTCTCCTCTTCACAGGCTGGGCTACACATTTTATCCCCACCCCTGGCCACTTAGAATCTGAGTCTGTGTCCCCTGAAGACTCCGGCCCATCAGGCTTCCACCTTGCTAATGATCACATGGTTCTGATTTAGTTTCATTCCCACAACTGAGAGGTATTCTGTTGCCAGGATTTAGTACATAGTGCTGTATCCAACTTCCCAGGAGCTTGGAGTCTGGGATCATTTTAAAGTAGAATCCCACAGCTGTTCCAGCTAAGTCATTGCCAAGAACAAAGGTTGCACTGGGGGTCCCTTCTCCCTCTACAAGGGTCACTGCCAATCAGCTTTTGTCTGGATCCCCCTCTTTTTCTGTTCTTTAAAATGTTCACCATGCTAGGTATGGTGACACACACCCTATCCCAGCATTCAGGAGGCAAAGGCAGGCAGATCTCTGTGAAATAAAGGCCAGTCTGGTCTACAATAGTGAGCTCTAGGCCACCCAGGACTGCATAGTGAGAACCTGTCTTTTAAAAAATGTCCATTCCTGGGCCCAATGAGCTCGGTGGGTTGATGACCTGAGTTCAGTCTCCAGCATCCACCTAGTAGAAGGTAGAGGGGAGTTCCCCGGGCCAAACCAACACCCCCAGCCTGACTACACTTTCTTTCCTCCTTTGTAAAAGTTCCCTACTTGACTATGCCATGGACACTAGAAATATTTGGCTGTTACCTAACTGCTTGATAACCATTAGCCAATTTCCTCAGTTTTTTTTTTCTCCTTGAAGTTCTAGCAGACCATGCCAGTGTGCCATCCACCATCTTCTGATCTGAAGATGTTCTTATTAATACCAATATATAGCCATTAAAACTAGAAACAATATCATAAAAGGAAAGCAAAGATATGGTTTGTGGGTTTGGGGTGGTGAAGCTAGAATGCATGTAAAATATTTTAAAGAAGAAAGGGATTTGGAGCTTCTAGTACAAAGACCAGTGTATTAGCTAGCTTTTAACTGTCAACTTGGCACAGCCTGGAATCTCATGGGAAGAGAACCACAACTTGGGAATTGTCTAGATCAGTTTGCCCTGTGGGCATGTCTGTGAGAGATTGTCTTCATTGATGTGGAGAGTACAATTCCTTATGCAGGAGGTCCTCAGCTATATGAGAATAAATAGACACAGGGCTGAAGAGATGGCTCAGCCGTTAGAGACTAGCTAGGCTCACAACCAAAAATACAAGAAGAAACAAAGCAAGCTGAGCAGAAGAACATGCCCGCATCCATTTCATTCCGCTCTTGACCATAGATGTGACCTGTGACGAGCTGTTTCAGGCTCCCACACTGTGACTTCTCTACGATGATGGACAATAACTAAAACATTAAGCTAAATAGACTCTGTTCCTCCCTACGTTACTTTCCGTCAGGGTATTTTATCACAGAAATAGAAATGAAATGAAATTGTCCAGAAAGGACAAGAAGAAAAATAAAGGACAAACACATGAAGGGCTATAAAAAATTCTAGAAATGAGAGATGAGTTTGATGTGATCAAGCTGACTGGAATTAGAGGATTAAAAGGTTTTCTAGGAAATGCACACTATTTACAAATGTATAAGCCCACAAAATTCAAATTTGGTTCCCAGTGTTTAAAAGCAAAAATTTCTCTTGAAAGATTCACCCACTTATAATGGGAAAACTTAACTCTGTAGAAGATCTGGGGCCTTTACCACTGTGTTTGGCTTTTTTGATGTTAATATTTGAAGTCTTACCATTTTGGTTAAGTGAATGATTATTTTGCATAACTCTGGGTTTATTGGATCAAGAGTTCTGAACCTCTAATGTTTTTGAAAGACTTTCAAAATCAAATTCTAGACTAAATCTTTGCCCTAAGGCTTCCTTTTGGTGCATTCCAGGAGGCTTTCAGGAACAATCTGACAAGACAGAGCAGCTAAGTTTATTTACTATTGATATGGAATCTTGTGCAAACAGAAAGGAAATAAAAGATCACTGTAGCTGCAGCTCTCTCCTTCCCGGGTATTCATTTGAGACACACATACATGAATATGTCAGCTTCCTCGGAGGCGAAGTGCTTGATCAGAGATCAGCAATACCCTGGTAGATAGAACATTTTAAAAGTCAAAAAGAAGGCATACTTAAACACTGCAGCAGACAAACCTCTGAGCTTCTTGTAATTCCTTTTCAAGCACTAGGCTGATTAGATCGTCCTGGCTGATCAGGCCAGAGGAAGGTCCACAGGCTGCTCTTATTTTAAAGATGAACCAATCTCTGGGGTTTGAAATGACCCAAAGCTAACAAATCCAGAATGTAAAGAGAAATGGGTGTTGTTATCTATTCCTTCAGGGCCAACAAACCTAGAAGGCAAACAGCTGACAGTTGGGACACTAACTATCCCTACCTTGGATACAAGCTGCATTCTAGGCCACACTGCAAGACTATACCATGTAATGTTACAGTTCAATATTTCCCCCATAAATGGTTATGTTGATGAAAATTCCTCCAGTCCTGCCCTGCCCAACAGTCCTGATGAATCTCTCCTACCAAAGATCCCACAACCACTTAAAAAAACAATTATTCAGACAGAGGCTTATATTAATTACAAACTGTTTGGCCTATGGCTTCAGCTTCTTGCTAGCTAGCTCTTTCGTGTTAAATTAACTAATTTCTATTAATCTATATGTTGCCACGTGGCCGTGGTGTTACCGGTCTGCTGGCATCTTGTTGCTGCTTTGGCAGCAGCTGGCATCTCTCCCCATTCTGGCCTTCCTCTCTCTGTATCTCTGCTTGGATTTCCTACCTGGCTGTAAGCTTTCTTGCCATAGGCCAAAACAGGTTTATTTATTATCCAATGGGAGCCACACATATTCACATCATACAGAAAGACATCCTACAGCAATGGTTATATCTTTACTCCGGACTAAGGTGTTTCATCAAGGAATTCATAGAGCAGACCCTGACAAATACCCAAATACTGGACTTTAGTCATTTTTGAATCAGTCGTATCATGGAATAGAGTGAAAGATCCTAGAATTCTACCAGAGAGACTGGCTGTTCTTGAAGACATCATGGAAGAACAGGAATTGAATAAATAACAAGGAAATGCTTTGACAGACTTCCACACCATATGCCGGTTCTGAGATTGTTGCAAGAAACAATTTGAATGAAACAACTTAAATGTGGTTCCAAACCAAATTTGATCCAAATCAGATTGCCCACAGTGTCCCTTGTAAGGGATTGTACTATACTCCTGAATTGGGAAAGGAATTTAATATTAAGCTGAGACTCGTGGAGACATAAGAAGACACCCAGTCTATCCTGAGTCCTTAAACTTCCATTTTAAAAAGTTTTTTTTTTTACCCCATTCATCATGGAGAAGACAGGACAATACTAACTGTGGGAAGATGTTGCCTGGTGACCATTCTAACTTCTTTCAAAACTAGAGTCTATATCTTGTAACTTAAGACCCCCTATGGGTTCTTAGAACTGTATACCTTTTAGAGATTTTATGATAAACTGAGGAGAAGCTTACCTCCCATGTAGAGAGTTTTCTGTAAGATGAACTTTCACAGTTCCACCATTCTGAGACAGTTACCCCTCCTGATTTGTCTTTGCATACGTGTCTTTCACTTGTTGGGATAATGCCATAGCCAGTCTTCTAGATACTTGTTCTCACTTCATTATGACTTCCTAGCTGTAGGGTGTGAGGTCAGTGGCTATACAGAGAGTAGTCTGGGAAGTTACTAATACTTTTGTTGCATGAAATAAATACACTTGGCAATGAAGATACTTCATTACAAGAAACAAATAACAAGCTATTTGGCTAAAAATGAATATCACTCATCATTTAATCATTCAGTTTTAATGGATTTGTTTTATGCTGGCCTTGGCTATGAATCGTACCTCAAATTGTTGCTATTCTCTTCCTAATAACCAAAACAGCAGCCTCCCTGGTGCAGTGTGTTCTCCGGCTTAAATAACTGTGTGCTGCCATCTGCTAAATGCTAAATGGTCTCTCATTGGATAGAATGACAAGAACTTAAATATGTGGACATGAGGATGCTATAAATTATGAATGGCTTATTGAAACTAATTTTAATATAGTGGTTACTTAAAGTGGTGTGGATGCCAAAAGTTTGGTCAAACTCTTAACTTGAGAGGATAACTCAAGGAGAAGAATGGTCAAATAAATTTTGTGAGGAGGCATGCATTAAGACCAGACACCTGGGCTGGGCCCACCAGACCAAAGCAATAGAGTTTAATCCCCACAACTGAGCTTCAGTTGGCACTGAAGGTACTGTAGACAATTACCTAACTAACCAGGCAGTGGTGGCACACGCCTTTAATCTCAGCACTTGGGAGATAGAGGCAGGTGGATCTCTGTGAGTTTGAGGCCAGCCTGGTTTACAAAGTGAGTTCCAGGCCAGACTATTATACAAAGAAATGCTGTCTCAAAAAAAATAAAATAAAATAAAAATTAAAAAACAGATAATAAAGACAATTACCTAATGAAAAACAACTATCTAAGCTGTAACCAACAACTAGTAAATTAGCTATAGCCAATCAAGTTGCTCTGTATTTTGATATCCTTTCCATGTTACATTGTTGGTTGTAGCTCTCTGAATCTGTCCTGCTTCTCCATTGCCTAGTTTATTAATCATGTCTTGTTTCCCTCAAACACTGCTAAGTGTAACTGATGAGGAATTCTCCTTTTGACCCACCTCCTATACATAGTAAATGATTCCAGAAAAATTCTTTCCAAAGGCAATGATTACAATGCTACAAGTATTTGTTTTGCGGCTTCCATGGTATGCTGCATGCTTTGGAATGAGCTCCTAAACCAGGGAGGGTCTGATTGGTTTTCTGGGGTTTCTAAGGGATTTAATCTCTCTGGGTCTTTACGTCTCTGACTGTGAAGGACACAAACTTGCTGATGATTAACTGTGGCGAGAAGGCAGCATTAAGGCACAAGGGGGTTTGCAAAATGCTCTCCCCATCCGCTGAAGACCAACACAAGGCCAGGGAAATCCAGTCTTTGAACAGGATCTAGACTGAGCAAATCTGAACGCATTCTAGAGATAAATCACAGTATTGAATTTTCTCAGTTTTTCAAAGTAGAGTCATGAGAATGGAGCAAGGTGTTCCTGCTTCCTCCAGAATATCTGTCTTATCTTTTCTTGCATGTTACCATGGAATTTTTGTACTGTAAACATGTCCTTTGCCCTGATAAAACTTTGGGGGAATTTCTTAATAAAATTATTACATCATAAAATCATCACTATTGATTTCTTTCTTCTCATGTTTCCTCATCTGCACAAAGCCACACAGGTGTGGTTGCAATTTCCCAGTCACAACTTGCCCATTGTGCTGGAGACCAAGGCACATTCAACTGTTCTTTGTCAAACTGACGTCCTCTGTTACACTTATGGGGATATTAATAGTGAGATCATCAGATATTCAACTAGGAGAACAATATTTATCAAAGTCATTGTGCTACAGACAAGACAGACAAAAACTGAGGTATCTAAAGACAAATGAAAAGTTAGCCTTCTTAGACCTGGTTATTTGAAGAAATTCAATACATAACAAAAAAGATGAATGTGCTAAAGTCCAAGGGCAACATAATTAGCACCATTAACGTAAAAGGACATGACAACAGGAGCAGCTGTGCTGGCCTCTTCCTCCACAGTTAAGAGGCATGCATGCTTTAAGCAGTTTTCCCTGGCAAGGCAAATGACTGCCCATGTTAGAAGCCAACTATAGGAAAGAACTTGCCTAGAGTAAATTTTCTTCTAAGTATGCTGAGTTGGTGATTCATGTCTTCCCTCTTTAGAAAACAAAATGTTATGTTTGGGTTGAAAATAAACTTCTGGTAGACTTTGTGGGGGTATAAAACATAAATAAGAGAGTAGAGTGGGGGAAACTTCAGCCACTCTTCCTTGCAGTTGATAAAAATATATATAGTTTTGATTTGATTGATCATGAACGAGAAACAAGCAAAGTCACCTTCAAGAGAAGAATCTTCAGTCACCAAAAGCTCAATATGGCCCAGTTAAAGGCCATAATATAGTCGATAATTATGTATTAAACAGAATGAAATTGATTAGCTAAAACAGTATGCTGGAGTCCTCAACGCTGACAGTGCTGGGCAAGCAAGATGGCTCAGTGAATAAAGGTGTGGCAGCCAAGCCTGATGACCTAAGTTCAATCCCTGGGACCCACACTGTAGCTAGAGTTTTCCTGCCTTGCCCACAGTCAGGACAAATCTCTGTCACCCACCAGTCCCACAACCGCTCAGACCCAACCAAGTAAACACAGAGACTTATATTGTTTAAACTCTTTGGCCTAATGGCTCAGGCTTCTAGCTAACTGGTCTTATATCTTAAATTAATCCATTTCTATAAATCTATACCTTGCCACATGGCTCATGGCTTACCAGCATCTTCACATGCTGCTTGCCCTGGCGGCAGCTGGCAGTGTCTCTCTCCGCCTCCCTGTTATCTCAATTCTCCTCTCTGTTAGTCCCGCCTATACTTCCTGCCTGGCCACTGGCCAATCGGTGTTTTATTATTGACCAATCAGAGCACACATTTGACATACAGACCATTCCACAGCACCATATGGTAGAAAGAGAGGACTGACTCCTGGGAGCTGATCTTAGACCTCCATACTCATTCTATGGCCAAGTGCCCCAAATAAATGAATAAAGTTTATTTTAGCTGACAGTACCTACAGAATGTTAGGAGAAAAAAAAATAAAACTTTAGGCCTCAGGCATTAGTAAATTAGTAAAACTGGACTCCAAATAGTTCATCACAGAGAAAAAGTGGGTTCTGCCCATTTTACCTAGAGTATCTTGCTTCTTATCATGGACTTCAGGTAACACAAAAGATTGGTACATTGGTTATTTTACAGATTTGGGTTTTGATTTTAGTCTTTTGTGTTTGTAGAGTTGAACCTTGGAGGCTGACTAAATTAGGATTGAAGGCCTGACCAGCTGAAGATCATCTCTTTGGTCATGGCATATCTGCCATGATTCCTCTCCATGAGTTTCTCAAGAGCAGCAGCTGTGTGAGATCAGCCTTGCTCTTCCTGGCT